CATAGGCTCCTTGGGTGCAATCCCAAAACAACTGGAGCACCACTTGAACACCATTGGCATTGACAAATTCGCTATTAGTCAATTGCAAAAGGCGGCCTTATTAGGAACTGCTTCCATCCTGCGACGATATCTGTAATACCATCAAACATCCACATCTGCCTATCCCAGGTCCTGGGTAAGGACTCGATAGGTAGACAAAATGCCAAATCCAGTCTGAACATCTGGCTGACTGTGCGATGATCGATAATAATAATAGTAAAGTTGGAAGGGACCTTGGAGGTCATCTAGTCCAACCCCCTGCTCGGGGCAGGAAACCCTACACCATTTCGGACAAATGGCTGTCCAGTCTCTTCTTAAAAACTTCCAGTGTTGGAGCATTTACTGCTTCTGGAGGCAAGCTGTTCCACTGATTAATTGTTCTCACTGTCAGGAAGTTTCTCCTTAGTTCTAGGTTGCTTCTCTCCTTGATTAGTTTCCACCCGTTGCTTCTTGTCCTGCCTTCAGGTGCTTTGGAAAATAGCTTAATTCCCTCTTCTTTATGGCAGCCCCTGAGATATTGGAATACTGCTATCATGTCCCCCCTTGTCCTTCTCTTCGTTAAACTAGACATACCCAATTCTAGCAACCGTTCCTTATATGTTTTAGCCTCCAGTCCCCTAATCATCTTTGTTGCTCTTCTCTGTACTCTTTCTAGAGTCTCAACATCTTTTTTACATCGTGGTGACCAAAACTGGATGCAGTATTCCAAGTGTGGCCTTACCAAGGCATTGAAGAGTGATATTAATACTTCACGTGATCTTGATTCTATCCCTCTGTTAATGCAGCCTAGCACTGTGTTGGCCTTTTTGGCAGCTGCAGCACACTGCTGGCTCATATTTAAGTGATTGTCTACTAGGACTCCGAGGTCCCTCTCACAGTTACTACTATTGAGCATGGTGCCACCTATACTGTACTTGTGCATTTGGTTTTTCTTGCTTAAATGTAGAACCTTGCTTTTTTCACCATTGAATTTCATTTTGTTAGTTAGTGCCCAGTGTTCAAGTCTGTCCAGATCCTTCTGTATCTTAAGCCTGTCTTCTGGAGTGTTGGCTATTCCTGCCAGCTTGGTGTCGTCTGCAAATTTGATGAGTTCCCCATCTATCCCTTCATCCAAATCGTTGATGAAGATGTTGAAGAGTACTGGGCCCAGAACAGAGCCCTGGGGCACCCCACTACACACCACTTCCCTCCATATAGATGCAGTTCCATTGAGGACCACTCGCTGAGTACGGCCGGTCAGCCAGCTACGGATCCATCTGGTGGTGGTTCTGTCTACCCCACATTTTTCTATCTTGTCAAGTAGTAGGTTGTGATCTACTTTATCAAATGCCTTACTGAAGTCCAAGTAAATTATGTCCACAGCATTCCTCTGATCCACTAATTTTGTCACTTGGTCAAAGAATGCAATAAGATTTGTCTGGCATGATCTATTTTTGACAAACCCATGTTGGCTTTTAGTAATGACTTTGTTTGCCTCTAGGTGTTCGTTGATTCGTTGTTTGATTATCTTTTCCAGGATCTTCCCAGGTATTGAGGTCAGGCTGATAGGTCTGTAATTTCCTGGATCCATTTTTTTTCCTTTTTTGAGGATGGGAACTACATCAGCTCTTTTCCAGTCCTCTGGTAGTTCCCCTGTGCTCCAGGATCTTTGAAAAATATAGTTGAGTGGCTCCGATATCACATCTGCCAGTTCCTTGAGAACTCTGGGGTGTAATCCATCTGGTCCTGGCGATTTGAACTCATCTAGGCTGGACAGGTGCTCCCTAACCATTTTCTTGCCTATCTTAACTTGTGTTTCTGTTTTGTTTTTTATGGCACTATTTTTGATAGGTTGGTCTGTTTTTTTCCTTTGTGTAAAGACAGATGCAAAAAATGAGTTAAATAGTTCTGCTTTCTCCCTGTTGCTTGTCACCTTCTTGCCACTTCCACCCACTAATGGACCAATCATTTCCTTCACTTTTTTCTTGTTTTTTACATGTTGAAAGAAGCTTTTTTTGTTATTTTTGACTTTGGTCGCAAGCCTTAGTTCATTTTGAGCCTTGGCTTTCTTCACTTCATCTTTGCAGGCTCGGGCTATTTGCTGATATTCTGACTTAGTTATGTTCCCCTCTTTCCACTTTCTATACTTGTCCTTTTTATCTTTCAATTTGTCAGAGAGTTCTTTATGCAGCCATGCTGGTTTCTTTTGAGAGCTGTTATTTTTCCTCTTTGTTGGTATTGTGCTAGACTGTGCTTTTATTATCTCATTTTTCAAAATTTCCCAAGCTTCTTGAGTTGTTTTCCCCTTGAGGATTCTCATCCATGGAATCCTTCCCAAGCCCTCTCTAAGTTTATTGAAATTAGCTCTCTTGAAGTCCAAGACTCTAGTTTGACTGTGTTCTATTGGTTGTGCTTCTATAATGTTGAATTCTAATATTGCATGATCACTTCCTCCCAGGGTTCCTATGGCTTCAACACCGTCTATCATTTCATCTCTGTTAGTGAGAATTAGATCCAAAATGGCTAATCCCCTAGTTCCCTTCTCTACTTTTTGGGAGACAAAGTTGTCTGCTAGGTTTGCCAGGAACCTGTTTGATCTTCCACTTGGTGCGGAGTTTGTCTCCCAGTTGATGTCAGGGTAGTTAAAGTCCCCCATTACTATTGTGATGTGCTTCCTACATACCTTAGTTAGCTGACTAGCAAAAAGTTCATCTATTTCCTCTGTTTGGTTGGGTGGTCTGTAGTATACACCTATGGCAATGTCATTTGCCCCCCCTTTTATATTTATAATAAATCAAGTACCACAGCAATTGGACAAAATATTGACAGGCAAGGAAGAAATTTTTTTTAACAAAAACCTACAAACATTTACTAGAGGTAGAATTGGAAGAAGAAATAGTAAAAGGTCCAATGATAGCATGGGCACGAAATATAGGCTGAAATATAGAATTAGAAGAATGGGAAAGAGTATGGAACAAAAATTGCAAATTAACACTGTCAACTGCATATAAAGAAAACCAATATAAAATGTTCTATAGATCGTATTTAACCCTGACGAGATTGACTAAGATATACAAAAACATGAATCCAGACAGTTGGAAGTGCAAAAACAAAGAGATAACATTTTATCACATGTGGTGGCAATGCCCCAAAGCAAAGATTTATTGGGAGCAGATAAGGAGATGGATACAGGAAATAACAAAAGAATGAATGAACTCAAACCCGAATTATTCTTATTAGGTATAATTAATCCAAAGATGAAAAAACAACTTCAATACATCATTGTACACATAATAACAGCAGCACGCATTGCATATGTGCAATGTTGGAAATGTGAAAATATACCAACAAATGACATGACTATTTACAAGATATTAGAATGCGCTAAGATGTACAAACTTACTCTAGAAATAAAAGACAAGGAAGCAACAGAATTTTATGAGGTATGGGACTAGTGTTACAATTAGTTAGAACTGAGGAATAAAAAAGTACGAGAAGTAATGTAAATAATTGTAAATATATGTAAGAGATATAGGACACAGTACTGTTAAGGAAAAATGTATTTTGTTTTTTGTAAAGTGAAAAAGGGAAAATATTTTTTTAAAAAAAGATACTGAGCAAATTCTTCTATCTCTAAATGAGACTCTCCAAGCCCCATCTACATGAGTCATTCAAAAGAGGGCTGCAGGATGGGAATCCATGGTCATAAGAATAAAGAAGTGGACTCTTCACTGCCCTAATTGCCATAAGGTAGGGCTTAATAGTGGTTTTAATCCATATTTAGTCGAGTTTGTCCTTCACTCACAGTTCTCTGGATGTCTCTTCTCTCTTTTCAACTCCTCCATGAACCATGGGATGCAACAGGACCCACAAGAGGGGAGAGGTTGCATGAGCATGATCCATTCCAAAACTTTGGCTGACACCCTATTTCAAGCAGCAACCAGGGCTTCAGATGGACTATGCAGCAGACCATCAGGAACAGATCCCAGCTTCCTCTGAAACCCATTTGGGTCCATCAGTCACCAGTGGTGGACCAATTTAATTGGTCTACCCACAATGGACAGAGTGCTAGATAATTTCATGGTAATCAGGGCATGATCTGTCTATGATGAGATACTGAGAGTTCCTCCAATTTCAATTCACATACCCATTGCTCAATAAGAAGACCCAATTAGGAGTAGGATCACTGTCCAATGTTGGGTTTTGGATGATCTGTGACAGACCTGTGGCCATGAACTCTCCTCAGCTTCATTCCTAGAGTAGACAGCTTGAGATCCCCTAAGACAGTGGTTCTCAACCTTTTTAATGCCGCGACCCCCAACCGGTCGTAAGTTGAGGACTACTCAACCGGTCGTAAGTTGAGGACTTGCAGAATGGGGCTTTTGGCGGGCTCAGCAGGGCAGAGACAGCCTGGACAATTCCTATTGGCTTTTGAAAGCCAATAGAATTAGACTCTATTCAATAGAGTCTATTCTATTGGCTTTCAAAAGCCAATAAAATAAAAGGGAGTAGCACAGCTAAGGAAAGGGGGGGAAAATGGCGGACTGCGTTGTTTGGCAACCCCCGTGAAATGGTCGTTCGACCCCAAATGGGGTCCCGACCCACAGGTTGAAAACCACTGCCCTAAGACCACAAGTCTAGGAAACTCTACCATCAACCAAAAATGGATTTAAGAAGCTTAGGCATGGAGGTTACCGTGCAGCAGGGAGGCTGGTAAAACATCACCAACCCAAACTGCTCCCTAAAGTCCAACTTAATGAACAAAGTTTCCTATCCAGTGATCTGTAGAGCAACACACCTGAAAGCCATAAGAGATTCCTATATAGCAACTGCTACACCATCATCCTGCCATGAGGTCTCTGGTAATGCATACCTGGAAATCAGTTGGGCTTATCTCTGAAATGATCACGCACACACCCTTTTTGGACCGAGCCAGATCTCAGTAATACATGCTACCTTGACTCTCTTATTGACAATGAGATCCCAGTTGAATAAGGCCCTATTACAGATCTATCTTAAAAACAGCAGCTGGAAATGATCTTGTCAAAATGAATTTTTAAACTTGTGAACTTAAAATCTAAAATACATTGAATACATCTTCTATGAAACATACGTTTAAATGTGCTACATTTTGACTGGTTTTATTCAATGAGTTAGGAAAAAAATCATATACTTGTTGAAAATCTTTATTTCATATGAATACATTTTTTAAAGAAATGGGATTCATCACTTCAGTAAGAATTGAATTAATTCAGTTAATAAATCATACTACAATAGAACTATTTAGATTGCAATTAAACATTTTAACCACACAAGATTCATTTATTTTTAATATTTACAGTAGTTAGCAACATATGATTAAAAAAAAGAATGGATTTTGAGTTTGAAGCAAGGATTAGGTCATTTCTTACAATTCCTAGTTCTTATAAACTACAATATAAACAGTGAAAACAGGTATTTTTTATCAAGTCAATTGATAAATTAATTAATATTTTATTCTTATTTAAATTCAAATGCTGTAGAAAGCTCACCGTTTTCAATACACTTCAAGTGATTGTTTCAATTCTGCAAATGTGGCTTCATTACAGATAAAGTAAAATGACTGTAAACTGTAACGATGTATCAGGAAATCCACAAGTGTCTGCAGGAAATTGAATAATTGTTTACTGGGAAATAATATTTTAAATATCATAGTTTGTTTTTAAAACATTAATACAATTTTTATATCCATTTTATTAAATTTGCAAAAATTATTAAATACTTTAGTGAATATAGAACTACAAATACAGAAAGACTGCATCTTGACAAAACAAATTAGGAGTTAATCTAAAGCCAAGTTGGTCATTGAGCTTACAGATCACAACCTTCTGTCATCTGAATATTAATAAAAAATAGACTAGTAAACCCAATCTCACTCCATGTTTACAATGCCAGAGAATTCTCTGCTTCTTGTGAAATCGGCCAAGTGTCAAGAGTAATACTAATTTACAGGGGAGTATGAAGATAATTGTAATCTAGAATCAGTCCAGGATAGGTATATCAACCCATAGGCATATAACAACTGATTCAATTCGTGCTAAGATGATTACTGCTTATTTGTTGGCTTTGTTTCCAGTTTTTTGAAGGGGAGACTAGGAAGGACCCAAGATAACGTTTGGACGAATGTGATAGATGGAAAAGGAAGCTGGATACCTGCAATTCTTAGTAAGGAGCAATCGGAAGGTCTGGTCTCAACACTATTTCCCTTCAGTTGCTCATCTTTCTTAAGCATACCTTTAACTGCACTTTTTGGAACGTTACAATTTCTTGATTTATAACTAGTTGACTTTTGACCTATTTTATAACCCCTTGCTGGATTTTTACAACTTCTTTTTTCTGCTCCTTGTTTACTGTTAAATACAAAATTATTACTATTTAACCATAAGGAGTGTTTTTACATTTACATAGGATTATACTATAAATATTGCTCTTTCTAGCTTTTTTTTTTTAAAAAAAGAGCCTTGATATTTATCTCTTAATTTTTAATGGGTTTTATTTGAAAACATAGACAAAAAAATTTGATGGGTCAGTAACAGTTTAGCAAACCCAAGATGATATCCAAAAGGAGGAAATAACAGTTGGACCTGATTTGCAATTTGAGGAATCGGAATTTGATCTGTTGCAGTCAGATGTGAAGGAAGGGTTTGGTTTGCCAAAAAAGACTGAAAGGATATGAATATAACAAATTCCAAGATAATGAATATGACAAAAGATGGACTGGACTTTCTTGGCAAGAGGAATGCGGTGTTGTCAAGGATAAGTATTCAACAATATATGTGGCAGAGATATTTACAACAGAGACTTATGAACTTTGGAAATGAGATACAATTGTTGGTAAAGTTCCCAATTAAAAACCAAAGGAAAGGTTTCACTATTTGATCCTGGACTCAGAGATAATGATTGTGGTAATTTGTGGTAAATAGAAAACGTGTAGATTTTCTATGAGTAAATTACAATAACAGACTGTTAACAGGGTGCTTTGAAATTTAACTTTGCTGTTGTTTAACTTGTTAACTAATTTTTCTTTCACAAATGTGTACAAAGACCTTACTTACCTTCACTGTTTTTCTCCAGTTGCTGACAGGAGCAACCAGTCTTTAATGGAGGCTGTTTTGCATCATTCTCCAAGTAGGCTCCATTCTCATGATCATTTGGAAGCCACCTTCTCCAAATCACATGATTTGAAGAAGTCTTCCAAAGCACTGCGAGAATCAGCCTGCTCTCACAATCCTTCAGAAGCCTCCAAACTGTGCAATTTGCAGATACTGATAGGGCTGGTGGCCAGCTGAGTTGTGGGAAATAGGTGGATGGAGGAAGTTGCAGCATCCCTGTAGGGTGGACGGGCTGCCAAGCATCTGAATTTTGATCACATAACTATGGGGGCACTGCAACAACTATAATTTGGCACAGGCCATAATTCCTTTTATTAAATGCTGTCACAATTTTGAATAGTCATGACCAAATGGTTGCACATTGAGGACTACTTGTATCATATAAATGCTTTCTTGAGGTGCATTCTTATCACCATTGCCAACATCATCATTTTGTGGTGCACAAAATCCAGATCATAGGAAGCAAGTCTATACAAGTAGTCCACAACTTACAACCATGATCGAGCCCAAAATTTCTGTTGCTAAGCTAATTATCACAGTAGTAAGAATGATAATTAAGTGAATCACTGCAGTTGTTATTCAGTAACATGGTTATTAAGTGAATCTGGCTTCCCCATCACAAAGGTGATCACATGACACTGAGACACTGCAATTGTCATAAATATGAGTCAGTTGCCAAGCATCTGAATTTTGATCATGTGACCATGGGGATGCTACAACGGTTGTGTGAAAAACTGTCGTAAGTCACTTTTCTCAGTGACTTTGAACAATCACTAAATAAACTATTGTCAATCGAGGACTACTTGTATTCTTCCTTTGTGAACTATTTATCTTTCCATCTCTTATATTATATTCCTTTATTGTATTTAGAACTTTTCTGAGCTTTTTACATAGCTTTAGATTCCTTGTTTAAGCATTCCAACATTACATAGTCACTTTTCCCAACATTCCTCTTACCCTGCTATATTTAAGGTATACATTGCCCAGTTTCTTAAGTAACTTAAGTGACTAAGTCTTTACTACTAGTAATAGCAAATACATTGCTGATACCTTTCTCCACCATTTGAAGGAAAAAATTGTCAGCACTACAAATGAAACATTTCTTAGAAAGACCATGTCTGATTGAGTGCCTCTCTGGAATGTTGTGACCAATTAAAGTTCCTCATCAATCCTAGTAGATACTAATAATAATATTTGATTAGTTTTCTCCATTTATTTTAACTAAAGAATACATATTCCAGAATCAGATGTAATTGTCTAAATGACATGTCTTGATCCTGATGCAGCCTAGGATTGATTTTTTTTTCCACAGCTATACCACCTAGTTGGGTCATGTTCAGTTTTTGATCCACCAAGACCCCCACATCTTTTCACATCTACTGTTGTCTGAAATAGTTTCCTCGCTTGATTTTTCCTATTCCTTTTCTTCCCACTTTCCTATAGCATGGTGGCTACTTAGTATGAATTTCACACTTTTGAATTTCAAGATCTTTGGCTTTTAATTAAAAATTCCATAAAAACAGCAGCATATAGAAAAACTATAGTTTTAATATCCTGATGCTAAGCTAATTATCACAGTAGTAAAAAAAACCCTTGAATTAATTGTGTATTTACTTCCAAAATATTTAGTATTAAACAAATGTAAAATGTAGTAGGGATAGAAATTAATTACAATCAGAGATTTCTAAACATACATTTCAATGCATTTTCAAAGTACTCACTTGTTTATTTCTCAGATTACTTTTTTTCTGATTTTGAAGCAAATTTCTTATTCAGGAGAGATGAAGTCATTTGAACAATTGTGCTTAAGGGCAAACCGCTAAGCTGACCCTTGTTTTCTTTTATCTCTACTAAAGCATCCAAAATGTTGTCTCTAAAATAAAATAAATGAGAACTTCCAAGATCAGCTTGATAAATATATTCCTACAAATATCACCTCTGAATAACACACTCACCTAGTAATCTCTGGATATAACTCTTCCAGTTTCTTTACTACTTTGCGGAAACTCCTTAAGTTTAATGTATTTGGAGGTAAAAAAGTAGATGATGGATTTGGAGTATACTGTACTGAGCTAAATGGCAAGAGGCTGTCTGCAGTATCCTAGGTATAAAATAAACAAAAACTGTTAATTGCACTCAAGATTACAGTGTTAATACTCTCATTATGGAAACTAAGATTTAAACAATGCTATAACATTAGAAAGAACATAACTGCAGTTTTCAGAAATAAGAATTTATGTTATGTATTCAATACAACCAAACTGATGAAGGTAATTTTTCACATACTTTACAGACATGGCAGTTTTAATAGGTTAGTTGAATTAGCTGAAGGAAGAATTATCAAAATGTTCCCTTTCAAATTCCAATCAAATAGTTATAACCATAGCAATTGTTACAGTAGAATCAGTATCAAATGCAGTTAAAATTAACAATATTGTTTTATTACTGGATCTCTGATACCAACTTTAACATAAACTAGGTAATCAATGAACCATTGGGCTATCATTTCAGTTGTGTCACAGAATGACCATGGGTAAGTAAAAAAGCACTTGGAGTAGAAGAGATTTCCAACTTGCTGGTGGCTTCTCCACTGACTATGCTTGTCGGAAGCTTGCAAATAAAAAAAGTGAATTGGGAAGCCAGCAAGGAAGGTTGTAAGTTGCTTGGGTAAGTTTCCTCCCCTACTCCCTCTATGGCCACTTGTAGACCCGCACGCACCCTCTTTGACCTACAAAACACTTGCCAGATCTACACCATGCCCCTATACATCCTCCCTGATCTACACTGCACCCTTATATTCCCTCCTGTAGCTCTCACACATCCCACATCCTAACCCTTGCTGCACCTCTTAGGAACCCCTCTGTTTCCTCCCACACCTGGCGGCAGCTATTTACCTATCTGTTGGCCTTGTACTTGCAACGTCCTGCTGGCTTCCTCACTGACTTTGCTTGTGGGAAAATGGCAGAGAACAATGGCAATCCCAATCAAGTTTAGACTTCCTGCCAGCTTTCCCACTGACTTGTGGAAAGCTGTCAGGGAGTGTTGAAAATGATGATCACGTGAGCAAGACTGAACATGGCATCACTGAAGTAGCCACAACTTTACCAAATTTAAATCCCATGGGATTAATGGATTTTGACACATTCTTAAGTTAACCCATTTGAGATATCTTGGTTCAAAAATTGTTGCCCTACAATGCACTGTTTAGTCCAATTGAAGATTACCAGCAGATAGACACAAGAGTTTAGTTATATATAGATGTTGATTAACTGAAATGTTAATAAAATTTGTTGTTGAAGCCATTTAATCATTGTTTAATGCATTAAGAGAAATGATGATCTCAAAAGACCTGCACGTACCAGTTTAGCAAGCTTATCTATATTAAACCTTGCAATAGATAGACAGATATGTCTTTATGTTCTGATATGCAATCTCATAAAAGTTACCTCTTGATCTACTTCAAAGGATGATTCTTTTGGTAAAGATTTAGAAAATAAAGTGTCAGAATTGGATACTTTGGAAGAGCCTGAAACACAAAGGAGCACTTCTGAAGAGGCAGGTCTGAAAACATTTGCCAATGGCAAAGCAGGCAACGGTGACTTCAAATCATCTTTGGAGACATCAGACGTTTTTAAAGAGAAAGGATCATTTGGAGGCAGTATGAATGTAGCTGAGATTACAGCAGGAACTTCCAAAATCAGATCAGAGTTTTTCTGATATTTGTTTCTATGTTTAGAAAGTGGCCTTGGATTTTCCCACTTTTGTTTCATACAGTTTTGATTGTCTTGGATTCCTTTTTCCTTAATTGTCCTTTTAAGTTGAACTTTCATTGCTTTTCCTTTTATTTCTCTCCCATTCATTTCTTTCACAGCCAGTTTCGCATCGCAGGCTGTTTTAAAATTAAGAGATGCATATCTAAAATGTAAAATATATGCAAAATATATGTAAAATATATGTACATTTCATTAATTAAACATAGGAAATTTAAATATAAGAGTCATTACATTTAATGGATAGATAGATACATAACCTTGTCATTTAGTTGCTTGTTCTCAAAGTATATGTCAGAACCCTAATTTTTTTAATTCTCTTTATTTCCTCTGTTTAAGCTGTTCGGGTTCTGCCATTCTCCTAAGGGGGGGGAGGGGGAACATGCATCACATGTAGGAAGATTCCTCTATCTGCTTTGATGTATTCTCTTCGGGGTGTGAATGGAATGCCTCGGGCCACCTGCCTTATCTCAATGCGTAGTGGAGGAAACGGCAAAAACCTAACAACCCTGGCGCCTTATCAGCTCTTTTCTGTCACCTGTAGATTGGCCTATTTGAACCATCCAGATGGACAGTTGGGGTGGGGTTTCTATTGCATGGTTTTACCTATTGATTTGGGCGGGAAAGCCCTCAGAACCTGTCTAGACTTCCGGTGGTCTGTATCTGCCAATAAAAGTTCCTTTTGAAATGATGCAAGTTTCTAGAGTTCTGCTTTCTTGGTAGGGGCAAAAGAGGCAGGTCCTTACATTAGGTAGGATCTTGCAAAGTGGTCAACCCAGAGGACAATTCCTACCGCAGGGACTGTGCAAGACAATGTCAAATCACGACGGCAAAAAAAGGGAAAGTGAGCGGCTGGAGGAAGCCCCCCTGAAGGCTTTCCCGAGCAGCAGCAGCTCAGATTCCACCAGCTCATCTGACAAAGCCAACACCTGTGAGAAATCGAGATGGTCGGAGTAGGGAAGAAGGATGACTGGGACACAAAAGTCACAAAAGTAACTGTCAAGCACAGGAGCTACCAACCCAGGTGGAAGTGTGAGATGGAGAGATCCCTTAACATAAATGAGGAAGAGGATGAGAGGCTAACACGCTCCAACTGCTTCCTTAAGCAAGCCATTGGCATGCTAATGGAGACATTCAGGGCCAGAGACCAAAGTCCAAAGGGAGGAAAAGGTCTGAGGTGGTGGCAACTGCTAGTGACGGGGCGTTAGAAGGCATACCTAAGACCTGGCTGAAGTTTTCAGTGAACAGAGGTCCGATGAACAACCCCTTACTGACCCAGTGACTGTGCTATCAAAATCCTTCTGGAGCTAAGCTGCCTTAGCCCAAGCTCTATTCAATAACTCCTAGAGAGCTGGAAGAGCTGCAGAAGTTCATTGAAAAGAACTTGGAGCAGGGGTTTATTCAACTTGTGTGACCGAAGATGGCCGTCCCTGTACTTTTCTGGAAAAAAAAAGATGGGTCTCTTCACCTATGTGTGGATTATAGGCTCTGAACGCTGTATGTGAGAACAATGTTTACCCATTGCCACTAATGAAGGACATGTTAGCCCATCTTACTAAGGGGAAGATATTCTCCAAATTGGATTTAAGGGAAACATATTATTGAGTTAGGATTAAAGAGGGAGATGAGTGGGAAATGGCTTTTAATTGCCCCTTAGGGTGCTTCCAGTTCCAAGTGCTTCCCTTCGGGCTACAAGGAGCGCTCACAGTGTTCATGCAGTTGATAAATGAGGCCCTCCATGAGCACCTATATGGGGGTTTTGGTGTACTTGGATCATATCCTAATATTTACGGAGACGAAGGAGGAGCATATCAGACTGGTCAGAGTGGTCCTAAACAAGCTTTGCATGGCCCGCCTCTATGCCAAACTCTCCAAATGTGAATTCCACAAGGAGAAAATTGACTATTTGGGTTATCGGATCTCCCATCAGGGGATAGAGATGGATTCAGGAAAAGTGCAAGTGGTGTTAGAGTGGGAGCCACCACGCATGAGGAAGCAGTCACAAAGTTTTCTCAGATTCGCAAACTTCTACAGGCAATTCATTTCCTCTTTTGCCCAGATTGCCCTCCCCATTACTAATCTGCTGGAAACAAGGGGAGAACAAGCCAAACCCCGATCAACCATTAAAATAGATTATGGAGTGCCAAGTAGCTTTTGAGAAATTAAAGAGGCTTTTCTTTGCCGAGTGGGTACTTAAGACCCGGACCTGGAGAAGCCGTTCGTTATTAAGGCTGACGCTAGTTATGTGGCAGTGGGGGTGATGCTGCTCCAAGAGAATCAAGAGGGGAAACTGCAACCCTGCGCATACATCTCCAAAAAGCTTACTGAGACTGAACAGAGGTGGGTAGTGTGGGAGAAAGAGGCATACATAGTACGCTGGGCCCTTCTCACTTTGAGGCATTTCCTGGAAGGGAGCAAAATCCCCTTCCAGGTGTGGACTGACCATAAAAACCTCAAGGCACTAAAGACATCCAGGAAGTTATCCCCAAAATAAGCTTGGTGGTCCCAACATTTCCACTGATTTGATTTCTCTATTAAGTACATTCCAGGGGAGAATAACTTTTTGGCTGATGCATTATCAAGGATGCCACAATACAATAGCATAAACCTTTGATGACCCCACAGCAATTAGCGGCCTAAGTTACCACAAGAGCGCAGGCGAAGAAGCCGACGTCATCAGTCAGAAAACTGGAGGCCCCGACCACTGCAAAGACTCACACAAGGGAGAAGTCCTCCCTAGACAGTAGTCCAGGGGTTGAGTTTAGAGAGGCATTAGAAAAGAACAAGTGGTTCCTAAGTCACAAAAACCTCTGTTCAATAAAAGACAAATTGCCTTGGGTGGGAGAAAAACTTTACATGCCAAAAACCCACAGAGTAAAATTCATGCAGCTTTGCCGTGACTCAAAGGTGACTGGGCACTTCAGGTTCATGAAAACTCCCCACCTGACCAAGAGGCAGTTCTGGTGGCCCTCTATAAAGAAGGACATTGAGAGTTATGTGGTCAGCTGCCCTTTCTGTGTGGCAGCACAGCAGAGACAGGGAAAAAACCCGGGACTATTGCAAGCGATTGCTAGGCCTTCAGCACCCTGGAGAGAGATTTCTATGGATTTTATAATAGAGCTTCCAGAAAGCGCAGGAAACACTGTCATTTGGGTAGTGATGAACCTATTCTCCAAACAAGTCCATTTCATTCTCTGCCAGAAAATTCCCACCACCAAGACCTTGGCCAAGTTGTTTGTGCAGCATATTTACAGGCTGCATGGGGTTCCACAATAAATAATTTCAGACAGGGGGGTCCAATTCACTTTGGAGTTCTGGAGAGCCTTTTTGGGTCTACTTGGTACCAATCAGGGCCTGTCATCTAGTCATCCTCCGCAAATGAATGGTGGGACAGAATGTTCAAACTCAATACTAGAACAATACCTGAGGTGCTTCATAAACTACCAACAAGATAACTGTACTGAGCTATTGCTCTTTGCGGAGGTGGCTTATAACAACACAGTGCACTCAAGCACTGGTTACATCCCATTCCAAGTGGTAACAAGCCAAAGCTTCAACCCAATGCCTGAGCTACCAAGCAACGAACCCATGATCTCTTTCTTGAAGTAATGGATCAAGCAACTACAAAACACATAGCCGGTAGTTAGAAAATCTTTAAACGAGGCGAGAGAGCACAGGCAGACAAAAAACAAATGGAACCAAAACATTCAAAGTGGGGGAAAGGGTATATCTGTCAATTGAGTTTCTAAAATCTCTGCAGCCCTCAAAAAAGCTAGGGCCAAAATTCGTAGGACCATTCACCATAAAATGCATAATCAACCCAGTAACAGTAAAATTGGAGCTCCCAAAAAATTGAGACAAGTTCACCCTGTATTCCATTGCAACCTGCTTAAATGGGAGCTAACCTCTCCCTTACGGCCAGACAAATCTCCCCCGCCCTGCAACCCATTATGGTGGAAGGGGAACAATATTTTGAAATTAAGAAGATACTAGATTCGAGGAAACATCATGGATCAACCCAATATTTGGTGACGTGGAAGGACCTCCCACCATCCCAAAATGAGTGGGTACATAATAAGAAACATGTCAGGGCCCCTAGATTACTAAAGAGGTTTCACGCCCATTATCCGGATAAGCCCAATTAATCTTGTTGTTTCAATTCTCTCCCCTTTTATTTTGTCTGTCTCCAGTTGGATCTCTCATTTTTCTAGGGGGGCAGCATGTCAGAACCCTAATTTTTTAATTCTCTTTAATTCCTCTGTTTAAGCTACTCGGGTTCTGCCATTCTCCTAAGGGGGCAGGGGAGAATATGCATCGCATGTAGGACGATTCCTCTATGTGCTTTGATGTATTCTCTTTGGGATGTGAATGGAATGCCTCGGGCCATCTACCTTATCTCAATGCAGAGGGGAGGAAACGCCAAAAACCTAACAACCCTTAGAGAGGACCTTATCAGCTTGTTTCCCATAGTATGATGTCACCTGTGGATTGGCCTGTTTGAATCATCCGGATGGACAGTTGGGATGGGGTTTCTATTGCACGATTTTACTATTGATTCAGACAGGAAAGCCCTCAGATCCTGCCTAGACTTCCTGCTATCTGTACCTGCCAATAGACGTTCCTGTTCAAATGATGCGGATGAAGAGGGAAGAATACTAATGGTGGAAATAATGATGAATCAAAAACAGATACTGATAGTAGCAATATATGCACCAAATGATAAACAAGAACAATTTTACCCAAAATTATATAAAAAAAATATTAGAATTGGACTATCAAAATCTCTGTATAATGGGAAACGTCAATGCAATAACAGATGTAACTTTGTACTATAAAAGCACCAAACAAGGGAGGAAAGGAAGAAATATATTACCTAAAGCATTTTTAAAAATGGCAGAAGAACTCTGTATCCAAGATATATGGAGAGAAAAAATCCAAAGAAACTACAATATACATTTTACTCAAATAGACATAAATCATGGTCTAAAATTGAGATGATGTGGACATCCTCAGAACTTAGCAGGATGATACAAGAAATTGAGATAGAAACTAATATCTGGGCAAATCATAACCCAATAAAGATGATCTGGAGAGGAGCCAAGAAAAAATTAAGATGGTCCTTGAACAAATCTATATTGAAAGAAA